TGAAAGACTCAATAGACGCTCAGCTCCGAGATCAAAAGATTGGATTCCGCAAGGACCAGTCGAGCACAGACCAAATCACTACACTATGGATCATCGTTAAACAATCAGTTGAATGAGACTCGTCTCTATGCATCAACTTTCTTGATTATGAGAAAGCTTTGACAGCGTAGATAGGAGGACATTTTGGAGCAGTCTTCAACCTGAAAATCGTCAACATCATCCGGAATTCATACGAAGGAATACACTGCAAATTTGTGCATGGAGTCAGCTGACAGATGGATTCCAAATAAGGACCAGAGTTAGACAAGACCGCTTACTCCCGTTCATTCTCTTCCAGTGGTTGACTGGATTATGTAGACTTCTACATTTCAGAGGAAGCACGGTTTGGACTTTGCAGATGACCTGATTCTTCCATCCCATATATATATAAACAAATGCAAGTCAAGATAACTAGTGTAGTAGGAGCCTCTGTGGCAATAGGCCTCAACATACGTACGAGAAAAGAAAGACCCTCAAATACAACAGCAACTCCGGAAGAGGTGGAAACTTTCACTTACCTGGCCAGATTCACCAATGAACGAGAAGGATTTGATGCAGAAGTAAAGACAAGGACTGGAAAAACAAGGACAGCATTCCTACAGTTGAAGAACATCTGAAACTCACAACAACTGTCAGCTATCATCATGGTTAGAATTTTTAATACGAACGTCAAGACAGTTCTACTGTACGGAGCAAAAACTTGGAGAAATCCCACAACCATCATCGAAAGCGTACAAGTATTTGTAAGCAATACTTTACGCAAGATAGTCAACGTCCGCTGGTCAGACACCATCAGCAACAGCCTATTGTAGGAGACAACAAACCAACTTCCAGCTGAGAAGGAAATTAGGAAAAGACTTTGGAAGTGAATAGGACATACATTACGGAAATCACCAAACTGCATCACTAGGCAAGCGCTAAATTGGAGTCCCGAAGGGAAACGGAAAAGTGGGAGACCAAATAATACACTGCACCAAAAATTGGAAGCAGATATGAGGAGGATGAACAGCAACTGGAAAGAACTAGGAAGGATTTTCCAGTACAGAGTTGGATGGATAATGCTGGTGTGCGGCTTATGCTACTCCACGAGGGGTAACAGAAGTAAATAAGTAAGTAAGTAAGTAAGTAAGTTTCTATACATTACCAGATAAACCAACTTTATTGAATGCAGAATGGCAGATTTCTTAAACAAACACTTAAGAATACTAAGCATAATTTCCTTAATTACATGTTGCGAAGAAGAATTGAAATAAAATGCAAAGGTAGTTAGATAAATGAGTGATACTTCAGAGAATAGATTTTCTTGTGTAGAATAGCTACATCCATAGTCTTTTACTCGTACAAAGATATACAAATGATACTAATTAATGGCTTTTCAGGTTAAATGAATCTTTTAATTCATATTCTGAAGTTGACATCCACTTGCTTATCCTCTATAAGAACTAGACTACCTGTTCCATAAAAAGAACATATTTTTCAGCAACCAATTGTCAGTAAAGACTTATGAAGTCTAGAACTGTTCTTTATAGCTAAAATGCTAATAAAAATCAATAAAATCTACTAGCGTGATTTTCTTCGTTGTGTTTGTGGTATATTTTTGCAATAATTCCCTTCAGTTGGTAATACTTGTTTGCAGGAAGGAAAGAGTAGCATTTTTAACTAAATAAATGTTAGACCAGTGGTTATAATAATAATAATAATAATAATAATAATAATAATAATAATAATAATAGCAACTGTAACAATAATGCTAAAGAAAATGACATTTATGGATGCAGGAAATTCACTTTAATACAATTCCCAAAATGTTAGGTTATTTCCTTTGACATAGGAAAGAGACGGTTACAGAGACAAATCATATTGATAATAATAAAAATAATAGTTATTGTGGTAATAGTAAGAATAACAATCCGTCACAGGAAGTAGATAAAATCAGTGATTGGGGAGGAGAAATGTCTTTGTTACTCCTACTCTCCTCTGTTCCTCTTAAATGTCTCATCTAGTCCACCGGAAGACACGTCATTATCATTTATAGTCCTAGTGCTTACCACCTTCATTATTGTTATTGTTGTTTAAGTTTGTACGACCAACTGGTGATTGACAACTAAGATTTATTTAAATATGTACCATATATGAATGGAAATTTATTTTGTAGTCTTAATTTGTAGAGAAAATAAGTTTTGTACTAAAAGTTATATATCTAGTTATCAGATATTCTATATAACTTAACTAAACATTATGATGTGATTCAGATCAACAAGAAGTTGTACAGTAACTCAGGTTATTTAATGAGATAGAGACTAACAAATAAATAGAAGTACAATAAACCGTGAGAAGATAATATTCGTGCGTACCGTTCTCTGTGCATTTCTTTCAGAGTTATATGGCTTCTTGTAGAATATTTAAAATAATATGGTCAATCTTCAATCACCTTGATACAATTAACTGGGTTTTTGTTTCATCTCTCCAAAATTGAGAAAGATGTCTGGAACTAGAAGTAAATATAAAGAAAGTTATGCGAATATAAGGTCTTTTCAATTTTCCCTGTGTTAAAAAGCCTCAAACAAAATTCAGAAACTTGTTTGTTATCACTAACAATAGGTGTGTCATCAAATCCAAGTATTTTCTTCAGAGATGAATGTATTCAAAATCTACCGAACTTTCACATTTTCATGGAAAGTTAATTTCATTAAAAAAGATTTGATAAAACCATTAACTGAACCAATGATTATTGGAAAGTATCAGTTGTTTCATTTCGATGAGCAACGATCCACTTGAAAACACAGTTATACACAGGTTTATTTTGCAGTCTGCAGTGTCAATCCTCTTTACGTCAGCTAACGGTTATACAAAAAATTATGTTTACACTTTCACTCAAGAAATCAAACTGTGGTAGAGTACAATGTAGAATCTCAGTCTTTTAATATCTGAAGGTTAACACCTATCAGAAGATAAAATTCGACTGGTTGGTTTCCTGGAGTGTAGTTTCAAAGTAGTAATGTTTAGAATTTATATTCATAAATGTTTAAGAAACAACTGAAGGCCGCTTATATAGAAATAAATTTTCGGATTTTTATAAAAACAGAAATATACGCACCATATTTCTGCGACCCCTATGAGGGTGAATAGTTTTATAGGAAATTATACTAATTCATTAGTTAGATAGTTTTATGTTGCTTCAGTTTTTAATTCTATAAAACAGTGTTTTAAAGCTTCAAGTCAGATGTATTTCGTAATGTTTATGGTTAATTAAGCATAAAATAATGATATAAAATGAAAGTTTTATGTTGTTTCTCCTTTTCCATTTGTCATCCGCTTAGTAGTTATGTTGGACTCAAAGTATAATCTTATAATTAATGCTACTGAAAAGTTATAGTGTGATAGAGTCAAATTAGCGAGCCAACTAGAAATTGGTTTGCATTAATATCAGTATCCAATGTTAAAATCCTAAAAAGTATAAATGTTAGGTTAAAATCATGTGGAAATGAACGAAATCTGGTTGATACTAGTATTTATGAAAATTGAGTTAACATGTTCAAATTCAGGCGCAAATTATGATAAAGTATTTTGTATGTAGTTCTGAAAAATGAAGTATTTTTGTACTGGAAATACTGATGAAAAATACGCTATTGGTAATGGAGATGGTGTAGGAAATTCATTGACTTTAAATAAACCTACTTCGATTTTGAGATTTTCCGTTGTTTAGTCTATAATATAGGGATTTCACTTCTCTCTGTTGGGCAATATTTTACAAAATACTGAAATCTAATTGCCTAGTTATTTCAGATAAATCCTTTCAATAGTGTTCTAGTGAATTCTAGTGAAAAGCTGTGACCAGTGGAGCTAAGCCGCGTCTAATTTAAAGTAGTTACTTGCCGAAGACAGTGGAATATGGTTGGATTGATTGGTGTTAAACATTGACATCGCTGACTCAGTGGTCAAGAGTTTATGTGTTTGCGCACCAGACCAAAGGTCCTGTGTTCATTTCCATGTGCGTGGTCGCGGATGCGCACTGGTGAGGAGTTTCATAGCACGATGAAACGCCTGTCTTGTGCTTCCAGGTTTTCAATTATGATCTAACTTGGGTTCGTTCATGATTTCAACGAAGCAACTAAAGGTCAAAGCTCTAAGTACCATTTCAAGAATTTGTACGCGGTACAAGCAATGGATTTGCTGAAAGATAAACCTTAGCACCATTATTCAGTATACCATGAAATAAGCCACTGTTTAGTAGCAAAACAGTGTGTGCGAATGGTTACGAAATTATTATCGGTATTATCATCATTCTGTAAAAATAAGTATATAAATATTTGTGATTGTACAGCTTTGAAAATGAATTCGCCGAAAAGAGAACTCTTCACAGAGCTTATCTTTCTTGCTTTGATCAACTTAATTTTAGCGCGTTCTAAACTATCGAAAATATCGTTGTGATTAAGATTCGAATATAGTTAAAACAGAGTACATACAGCGTACATGAAAATAGGAAGAAACGGTCATTTTTAAAAGCTCAATAGATGATTCTGGCATTCATAAGAAAGTGCACCGTGAGTCAACATTGATCTACATGAAAACGAAGTTAGTTATAGTGAATTGTCCAAGATGCATAAACATAGAAACGTACACTAGGTGGCATACTTTTGATCAACTTATTTGGAAGAACAGTATTCCACTTATTCAAAATGTTGAAGTATTCATTAAAAAATTTCAATACAGATAATAAAGTAGATACACTAGGTTGTAGCGTTCTACCCTCGATAGGCGTTGAATTTCGAACCAATCATAATCCACAAAAAAATAACCAATAGAATTATCAGTCGTTTTATGAGGTTTTCTTAAATAAATTTCCAAAATTTTTCTATGAAGCTTTGTCAAAAAAGGGAATGTTTCAAATGAGCACAAATCAAGTTGGATATTTTTGGAGAAAGTAAACATTTGTTTTGTAATCAGGACAAACAGTCGTCATGTTCGCTATCATCGTACTATATTTTGGTAAGATTCCATTTTATGCAAATTATTGATATTCATATATTTAGTCATGGTCTTCAACTTAGATCACTGTGGAATAGAAAATCGCAGATAGTCAGAGAGCACTAAGCAGGTGTCTTATATTAGATTAGGATACTCAAACATACAGATTACAGGAGTTAGGACCTTGAAGTTTCGTTATTATCACAGTTTCACTCAGTCACTGAGTTGGAATCAGACGATATTGATCTTATGACATAGTCAATTATTTTGTAAAATACAGCAGTTATCCTGGCAATCATTGCTTTGTAAGAATTCTATATGTGCTATCAACACTGGCTACACAAGTGTGAGAGGAAATTTAAGACAGGAGAATATAGTCAAAAGGTCTTGTTGCATAGATAATTGCTTGGTCCTGTTTTTTCTTAAATGATTCCGAAAATAATACCGTTAGTCAGGAAATAATTCTGGTGTTTTGTTTTAAATTTGTTCTTGTTATAACTAACCAAAAAAATGTTTTTTTTCAACCTGAGATATTTTGTAACTTCTTAATGTACTGTGAGATTTATGCTTAGTGATAGAAGCTTACTTTATTATAAGACTTTCAGACTTTTATTATGAACAGGATTGGTAAATTCGTTTCCTTGCCTCAAAGAGCTCTTATATAATTATAATCACTGATACAGAATTTACATCAGGCATTTCTTTGTATCAACCATACATGTAAGATTCTATTCGATTTTTTAACATTATATAAAACAATATTGTTTTGCCCGACAAATCATTATAATGCTATTCTACAAGGTTACACTTGGAGGTTCCTAATATTTATGACAAAGATATAATGAAGTATGCAACTTAACAGTGACTGTTGTATGTATATTTCTTATACTGACCATCATATGGCATTTACATTCTGAGACTATAGATCATGAGTTCTACTTGTATTGTATTTATGTATAATGATATCTGTATAGCTTTATGGAAGGATGTATTGACTTCGATACCAGAAAAGTTATCTGAAAAGTATATTAGTAAACTTTAAAAGTGGGAACTATTTAATATTTCACAGTTTGTTAACAACTGGAGTTTCGCTTAAACTGTAAATGATCCAGATAAACTAATTTATTAAAATGACAACTTTTAGGCAACTTTTAACAAGATTATTTATTCGTAGATCGAATTCAATGTATTTGAATTAAGTAAACTAAAGGTTCATGAACTAATGTCCGGTATCCAAAGATAATCCTTTTGATTAATAATAGATTTTTGGAAAGGTTATTTTCAGAATGGGTTTTGTGGAGAGTTTTAGAAATTTTCACAGATTGAACTCATGAGTCAGTTGAAGCTAGACCACCATGGAAAACCTGGAAGCACTGGACGGCCATTTCGTCCTGGTATGGGACTCCTCAGCAGTGCGCATCCACGATCCCGCACCACGCGGGGCTCGAACCCACGCCCTACTGGCTTCGCGCGTGAGCACATAACCACTAGACCACTGAGCCGGCATCCAACGGTGTTAATGTCTGACTTCAACCAATCCACGAAGTTGCGCCACCGTACACCATTGTCTTCAGTGAATTGTTATCTCACAACAGACCGGTTGAACTCTACTGGTAACGGCTTCTCACTAGAACTCCAGGAGTTTTTCTTGAAGTCAGTCACTAATGAGCAGTTGATTATTATCAGAATAGGTTTTGTGGAGAGTTTTAGGTTAAGTGCTCACGCGCGAAGCCAGTAGGGCGTGGGTTCGAGCCCCGCGTGGTGCGGGATCGTGGATGCGCACTGCTGAGGAGTCCCATACCAGGACGAAATGGCCGTCCAGTGCTTCCAGGTTTTCCATGGTGGTCTAGCTTCAACTGACTCATGATTTCAATCTGTGAAAAGGTTATTTACTAAATTGACCACCTGTCTAGTAATCAATTTCCGAACAACTGCAGTAGGATGGTTATAGCAATTCAGTAAATTCACGATACTGAGGAAGAAATACGTTCAGTGATTTTTCAACTATTTCACTGATAGATTTTTTGCATTTAAACCATAATGCTTTGAACTCATCAGTGAGTTACAACAAATTTTGTAGAGAGATGAATAAACGTATCAAAACAGGTGTTTAATTATCATTCTTTGAGTAACTGGTTTAGTTATAAAGTATCTAGATAGCAAAGCTAAAGGACTATTAGAGTGAATAAGTAACTGGGATTCTTCTTAATGATATACAATGTAAAAATGAAGAGTTTTGATCGCCAAGCTTTTTTTTAGAATTCTTGATAGATACCTATCATAATATCAATATGAACACCAGTGATGTCTAGATAAAGTTGTCAAACAATTACCTAATCAGTTTTATTTATCATACTGTTATGGTTTTAGAAAGTTGGTTACCTATGTGATAATAAAAAAACCGTACTGTAATTTGGTCCGTGTTATTATAAGAGCCTTTGGCAATACTAATTAGTTTGGATAAAATTCATATCCACTTCAACTGTCACTATTAACAGCGATTAATCAACAGAGAAAGAAACATATTTTCAAACTACGAATAAAAAAGCATTAAAGGTTCTTAAAATTTCAATGATATTGGAGTTATTTAAACAGTATACAACTCGTTATTTGTATACCGGAAAATGTATAAGTTAAAAATAGTTTAAAGTGATGACCTATTCAGTGTTGTCATAAGGTCACAGATCTTTAATTTTATGGTAAACTTCATTTATTCCTAGTTTACTTGTCTATTGGTATCCTGAGAACAATTGATGTGAATCAATCAAAAACAATAAACATAATTGTATTTTAAGAATTTCGATTGCTCGATTAATGCAGAAGTATTCCATGGTTACACTTAATCTTTTGGTTGTAAGGAGTCTTGATATACGTGTGTAGATAAATCTGTAAAGAAAAATTCATAGAGTAAATCCATGCCGACAATTTTCTAAGATAAATTGTCCAGATGAATAGAATTACTTAACCGTCGGAAGCATTTTTATATGTCGTAAAATTGCTACAATAACTACCATTTTGATTGACGATGTATTCTTTAACAGAAGAAATAGGTAAGACAACTTACTAATGTTTCGTACATTTAACAATTAAGATCATTTTTGACGTTAAATTCATGTTTGTCGAGTGAAATATTAAAAGTTCTCTGATGATTCTAGTGCAATAGTAGTTAAGTGAATATCATTGTGTTCACCATTAAAATCATCCTTCAGTTACAGTTCATGATTAATGTACTTTTTCAAGACAACTCCTTGGTGTTGGCTTCTAATAAATTACTTTTATTTTCCACCTTAGGTCTTTTGAATCCCGTTCAAGATTTGCTAGCTAAAGAAAATCAAGAAGATAACGATTGGTCTATGATTATGGAAGTTGAAGTTGAAGATCCCACCTACAATTCTTCATCTGATAAGACTGACGAAAAAAACATCATTATAAATGGTAAGAAGAACCAACATTTCCTGCAGAAGAACAATGAAACAGTAACAGAACATGGTACTTCTCAGCATTCCATACTCATACCTGGTGCAACAATATGTGGATCGTTTTTGTGCTATAACCAGGGACAATGCTATACTAACTTACATTCGCCTTCTTCAAAATGCTTATGTCCACTTGGATATTCAGGTGATTTCTGTGATAAAGGTAAATGACAATCCATTCAACAAACACAAATTAGTAACTATAAAGACATTTTCTAGTAGAAAAAAATTATATGAGTACCTCTTTGTTATATTAGACAACATTTGGGCATTAACATTGACTGAGTAGGTTTGAAAGCAGCTGTAATTAATAAGTTCACAAATAGCATTTACTTTGTATAAATCAAAAGAAAAAGTAAAAAAACGGATACTTTTATTAATTATGGTCAAACTAAATAATCCTACCACTCACTTTTGTTTTCAGTCTCCTGTCAAATATTGTCGGGTGGAAATCAATATATTCTATATAAACAAATATTCTTACACCTAATAATAAATAACACTCATAGAATACAATTTTTTTGTTTATTTGTCAAGTGGGTTTTGTAACACATTTTATGAGTGGGGTTTTATAAGACTAATTCAAGGATGGAGTTTATGCGTGATTTTATAAACAAGGAGTTTGTAGTTTAAGTGACTTATAAAGTTGATTTCGGCCAATTTCCTTCTTTTTTTCTTTTGTAAAAGAAATTCGCTGAGGTACTTTGTGCTGAGAATTCTATATTGCACAAAAAATATAATAGAGAATGAAGTAATTATTAATGGCAACAGTGATAATAATTTGGTCACATTTTATAAAGGAGTCATTCATTTTAATGAATATCGTAAATGTCTGTTCACATAGTAGCTTACAGATTAGTTGACGTTAAATACTAATCTATCAAATACACATCTGACTGTAAATAAATCATATAAAAATTAGTGTATTCAGATATAATTTTTGAAATATGGATAAATCCTCACCTTTCGTCTTTGTAGTACGTCAGCGTTGTGCGATTCAAAGTTTTCAATAGTAAGTTACGGCTTGGTGTAGTTGTAGCAATATGTAGATGATAACCCTTGTGTTATTCATTAACGTTGATTATGTTCAATGAAAAGCAAGTTATGTAAATTACTGTGAACAGTTATTATGATTATAACTTTGTTTACTTCATACTATAATTTATCCTTTTAAAAGCTAAAGAGTAAGAGTTTTTTCAATATATTATTAAGGAATAATTTTCAATTTTTCTAATCCTTAGACTTATAATAAATATGTATGATGTATTCCATGCTGTAAAACTGTGGTATATTGTTATAGATTACATTTAAAGTGCTGGTGACCGAAACTTTAATGATAAAACCACTGTTCGTTAGAATTCTGGAACACCCGTTTTAATTGACATATTTTGCTTGAATTTTACAAAATATACTTAGAAAAATGGATGCCGACTGATTAATTCCCTAAAAGTTTGAAAGTCAACTACTAATGAGATAATTATTCTGAGAAACTTTCTCTGTTTTTGTACTTCGTTGATTATCGAGTAACCGATTATGTTGACTGTGAAGCGTTTTTAGATAAGCGAAACGTTTCCCTATATATCGGTATGTTTAGCACTCTTGATTAAGAATGAAATACTTGAAATTATGAGATTGCTTCTCTAGGTTCCGTAACTAATGAAGAATGCTCTCCCAAAATAGTAACATTGTGGTGTATGCTACTTATATCTGTCGACCTAAGTAGTATATGACGCCAAACGGAAGTGGAAACCCTGGCAGCAGAAGTTTGAGAAGATCAAGTTGAAGAGAAGGGAAACGCAGATAGAAACGGAGTGCGAATAGGAAGAATCATACAGAATGTAAAGAAAAAATTATGAAAAATTGTAAATGAAGTATTCAATGTATGTCTCGCATATTTTACCAAGATATTCTGTAATTTCGTATCAAAATACATTGGTTGTTCCCATCTGCGGTCTCGTTCATTACAATGTTACTTAAAACTATTGAAAATTGAGAATATTTAACAGTTGATTTACTTTATTCTGGTTTTCTTTGGAATCTACTTAACTACGGTTTAGAGCTTTATTTCTATCATTCAGGTTCGTTAAAAATGTGCACATTATATCCTAAAGTTTCATTTCTATTAAGTGTATCAAAAGCCGTTTTTCATACTTCAGCATAAAATGCTTGGGTGTCTTTATTTACTTCTAGCATTACTATTTTTCAAAAATTGTCAAGCTCTGATAAGTTTTTAATTCTCAATTTGCGCTCAACTATCCACCTTATAAATCATTTTTAAATTATAAGCATCTGAAAGTTATTTTATGCACTGGTAATTTGTCATCTTACATTATCTCCGGAAATCATTCATAAAAGCGAAGGAAAGAGGTATACAGTATAGTTTCTCCATTTTTCTATTATTTCAGACTAATCGACATAATTAATGATAGTTTTGTTTTATTAAGTGGTTATTTTATAATCAAGTTTCATTGGCTTTTCATTTATTAGATAGAATTTAAAAAAAATATGATTTCCGTTTGCTTACTGTAAACTTCACTGCTAGTATTAAAACTAGTGACTAGCAATTGAGATCCAAAATATTTAGGAGCGTTTTATCACAATAATGCAACTGAGTGTTATACCATTTCTAGTGCATATCATGTATGCTCATCCAAATATCAGCTTCATTGCTCGTTAAGACTGATAATTTGTATATGAAACAGTGTTTTCTACCCCTCAATTAAGTTATTGTGTTCCATTTTTTAAACTGACTACTATCCGTTACTTTAAGTTAGGTGTTGAACTTTATAACCATTTCAAGGCATTTTATTAGTTAACCTATTATTTCATTTGAGTCAGTAAAATCTTCTAGTTGAAGAACGTTTTCGCTGAATGAGTGTTGAAGTTTGAATGCCAGTTATCAATCAAATTTTAATTCAGAACTTTTATTTCGTGTCCGTTTGTCAAATGACTATACAATGGATACTTTGAATTTCGTCCAAACCGTTTTTGGTTATAGATGGTGGTTAGTACTGGAATCCATAACGCGCGTTTCGTCCTACTTGGAACTCGTCAGGTGGATGCATCTGCACTCCAAAGTTGGTCTGGATTGAAGAGCTAAGCAGGTAACTCGGTGGTATTCGAATCCCGTAGTGAAAATTAACTGTGGGATGCTGGTACATTCGACTGATGAGTCCTAAGTAAGACCGAATGAGCGTCCCAAACTCCAGTGCTAGCCAACGTCGATCTCTGCCTTTAATGTTTGCGACTTATGGCAATAATGAGGCAACGAGCACATGATACACATATACCAATAAGAAACTGATCGATTTCACTTCTAGACTTCAATGAGAAGATTCAAACAATCAATACAAAATGAATTACGTTTTTAGTTATATTTAAAGTTGCTAGCATAGTATAGACTGTGTGATGGAAATAAACAAGTGAAATTATACACCTATTCAAATTTATGCAGGATTATTTAGTTACAACTATCACATTTAATTCATGTCATATGAAGGAATGTATTTAAGGCATGTTTTGAAGTCACAGTGAGAAATTTTCAGATTTTACTGAGTGATCAAAAATTCAAAATAATTATACTTTTATACTGAATTATTGCAGAGTTATTCTTTATATGTCTCTCAAAGTATATCACTGATTAAAGCTGATCATAATAGCTCTTTTCACATTACTTTTATTTTTGGGATTTTATAATTCTTCACAGTGGATGAAGGATACCAGTTTCCGTATATCGAGCAAGGTGGTTATCTAAAATTTTATTTTAAATCGTCTGCGTTATACAGTGGTATCAATCAAAGTTTTATCGAAAGAAGTAATCAAGTGTCAATGAATAGTACTAATACCTATAAAGTGGACTTTGAAATACGACCAAGCCTTACTGATGGAAATTATTTATTAGTATCCCACGAGTCAAATAAGGGAGATTTTAAGTTTTCACTCAGTATTGAAAATGGATACGTAGTATACAGGTTAGATATGTGTATTATTATTGTTATTATTACATAATATTATCTTTATTACACAGCATTTTAGGGACCTTAAAGCTTAACTTTAGCCACTATGATAATCAATTTATGTTTCATAGTCAATTAGTTTGTTAATATTAAATATGCTGTATTTTCATAACAACGGTTATTCAAGAAAATACCCTAAAATAGTCATCAAATTAACGTAATGAGCAAAACGGATGACTGATAGTAAACGAAAGTCAGAAGACAGAGTTACTTACATCTATGTTATGTTATGTCAAATATATTATTCTACTTTTGTTGCGAAAATTCTCAAATAGATGGGTATGAAAATAATAAACAAAAATGAATAATTCATTCTTCATACACTTGTAGAAAGAATTCTGTCAGATATGATAAAAGCATTCCAAAATGTTCAGTTTCATATTAAAACACCTTTAGTTTACATTAACAAAACTCATTTTACTTCACGTGATGTTTGTCTTATCAAAAGAGAAGTTACACCAAATGACCAGATAAACCTATAGGAAATAATAGTTTGACTTCATTTTTCAAAAGATTATACTTATTCTTACGGGGTCAGTTGTCAGCAAACTGGTTACGTTAGCCAACAAGCGACTTTGTGAATAATTGGTCAAATTAACAACATGCATTGTAATGGGACAATCCATTCATGTAACTTAAGGGACCAACGAGATTCATAATGTTTAAAATATTATTAGTCAACTTGGTGATTAGATTCCCCTCAACAAGTCTACTGATAAATTCTACCATCCGACTTTTCTTTTTAGTCATTTTTACTTTTTTTTTAGTAGACGTTTTGAAATATAGATGTGTTTTGATTGAGAGGGCTCGTCCTAGAAACAATGAATCGACTGTTTCCGTTTCAAAATTGCATCATTGATATGACCTTGTTAGGTATATTTAGAATGTAACATCATACTTTTGAGTTAGCAGAATTCTGATTAATTAACATTTAACTCAGTTTTAATTTTACTTTCTCGTTGCACGCAAATAGGTCAAAATATTTACTTAGTTGAAGGAGTGGAGTTTGTTATCGATGCTGGTTTTATTATTTAAGAATGCAAATGATAGTGCTACAGTTTTATAGTATTCGCATTTGATGAGATTTGCAAGCGTTCTGCAGAATGTTTTAATAGATGAACTTACGATTAAATATTGAGTGATTATTTTATCCATGTTTGAATATAATCACGAGATTATCATTGATAAATAGATTATAACATGCAAACATTCTGACAAACTGTCTTTTAGTAAAAAAGAAAGCGGGTGTTGGAGTTTCATGAGACATGACAGAGGAATTACCACTGGAATACATAGCATGTGATTTCGATGACTAAAAGAGAAATGTATGTTATGATGAGCGTCATGTCTTATTTTACATATCTATAGGTTTGCACATAGTTGCGATAACAACTAATGGACAGATACAAATCTTAAGTTAGTAGGTTTGCGAAAAAAAGGAAACGGCATGTGAAGTAATGTATCTTGTTTACGTTTAGTTCATTTTAATCTAAACGATTAGGAAACCTAATTATTAACATTTCGATCAGTAACATTACAAAGGTTTCTCTAAATGGTACATATTTCTTGAAACTAAGTTGGTGAACTTACTGCTGATATGTTTCTATATTGTGTTTCGTATTAAAAATATTTTAAACGGCCTTCATCTCATTTTATAATGGTTGGTTAAGTCTTTATAGGTTTTGTAAAATAAAACTCCAAGAGGCTGAATATTTTCATATAAAGTGTCATCTTAAGTTCTACAAACGGTGTATCTGGTACGACAATCTGTATTTCACGTAGATTAAAATAACATTAGAGAGTTCACTCCATTGACTTAATTAGGTGGTCCCTTATAGACATGCATTAAATTCCGATTCATCACATTAGTAAATATCTGCTAAACGTTTCCAATGAAAATGATACCTTCACACTCTTTTAAAGACACAACGTCTTTTTATTTATGTATTCCATTTTTTCTATTTAGATCTCTGCGAATTTCGAAAACAAATTATGAACCCTATCGTAAAGAGGAAATCCAGGAAGTTAAGCATTTTACATTCCTTAACAGTGAACAATGGTATTATATCTCCTTTGGGGAGACAGCTGATGGAAAAGGTTTCCTGAGTGTTGATGGAATTAAAGAAGATGCTGTTTATATGAAAATAAGTTTCCCTTTAATACTGTCCTTCTATATTTTCTAACTACATTTGAAGCTTTAAATTTAATTTTTTACTGAAAAATGATGGTACTTTAATATATTTCAGTAGGCAAATGCGTATACAAATGTTATTAGTTCATGTATAATTCAAATACAAATTTTCATCAGTTCGCAAAAGAATACACAAATTCAGATAAGAGTCCCTTTACATAGGGATACCGAATAAATGGGTTTTATCATAATCATAAATTGGTAATTTTGTCAAACAAATGTAATAATATAAGAAGACTATACAGCATAGAAAGTGGATATCCTCACTCAAGTTTTGTACTTCGTTCTATGATATAGAAAGTGTTTTATGTTTAAGTGATTAAGTATTGCGTGAAATATCAATTTGCTTGCAGTCATACCTTGAAAGCTTGAACGATTGTTCAGAAAGATGATGGAAAAACTTATTGACACACCAATTTAAAATAATCATACCAGTCAAAAACGTATGTTATTCTGACTGATATCCTGTGCATATTTGGAAATAAATTATGTGTTTACAGTTGGGTTAATAACAGGAAAACCTGGAAAATCCCATCACATGAGTTCCAAAACATCTTACGAGTAATCTATTTAAATGGTGGTTGGAGGTAGTCAACAGGAAACCCTGGACCCGGGTTTCGTGCTACTTGGCACTCGTCAGCAACGTGTACCTGTAATCTTGAGGGAACTGGTGCTCCCTGGCGGATTCGATCTCGTGTCACCCAGCTTCACAGTCAGAGACGTTACCACTGAGCTATCCGAGCCGCGACTGACCTCCTGTAGGACTGAGATGTAATCACAATTAATTGATCACTGGGTGGTGATCAATGTCATGCTTGTCTAGTCCTTATTAGTGCAGATCGAATGCTATCGATCGTAATATATTATGGAAGTAGTTTATGATGATTGATAAAACGAAATTGACGATTTGTAAAACCAATGGATAGAATAGTAATAGAGAGATAAATTCAATTGTGTGAATTGTAGCTGAGCGACGACTACTCACGAGGCCGTATTATCGACGTGAAATCCAAATTGATTAGAATTCGAAGACGAGACAGTTTTTTCCTTAATAAAATAACATTTATATATCGAATGCGAACACAGAATAAAAATGGCAAGCTGTCATAGGAGACTGAAGAAAATTAGCTTTGAGTTTATTCAGCACTCAACCAATTATGACCGAATGTTTAGCCTACTTTTTGGGCATCACATAACAAATTCTTACAGTTTAAACTCTTTAAATTCACAGAAAATTCATAATGAAAGTGCTTGAATGAAATTCATATCTATGAATAATTCTTGAATTATTATATAAGTTCTGGATACCGAAATGTTTCTTAGTAAAATCAAACACTAAGCTGCATAATACTAAGCATTAGGTAGATCCCATGGCAAAGAGTAATTGCTATGAAAAAAAGCTGTATTTCATTTTACATTTTACTTCACTTAATTCTTCTCTTGTTTCGTGGACAACAACAAAATACTTCCCCATCGATTTGCTCTAATCAGTCAATTGTTCTGAACAATCAGATTATTTAGTGGAATAACACAAAATTGCATATATTTGTTCGTTTATTTATTCTCATTTTATTCATGCTCTGACATGTTCGATTTATAACATCTAGCATACAGTTAATTTTTGAATGATATTCGGTAATTTTAATGTTTGATTATTTCTCCTAAAGAAGCTTGAAGCAGACTGAAGACAGAAATGTTGGATTAATTTTAAATTCAACCGGTCATATGTTAACAAATATAATTTCATTATTGGTGTAAGCGTTAGGTAATTCAGTTTGTGTAAATTACGAGTTTACATTTTCATAGAAGTTAAACTAAGATTTTCAGTACAAATATACAGTACTTAAATAGGCAAAATGAGCTTTTAAAAAAATCACTTTTTTGACATCTGATTTTTCAACTGTTGGAAGTGAATATCCAAACTGACTAAGGAATTGAAATGAATAAAGTTTTGTAATTAAAGTAATTAAGAAATCTTACAGCTTGTCTGTCATTGTCATCACTACATTTCTCCTTTAATTAGTTGATTTTATAGATCAATAATTTGTTTAGGAATTAGATAATCTTCTTGTCTAAGTTAATATAAGTAGGACATCTGTCAGTCAGTCAGTTAGCTTTGGATATAATTCTTTTAAGTCCTAAAATCATTCATAAGTCTTTATTTGATTCACTCTCATATATATTAAACAGTATTATTGTTTTCTTTTTAGGGGACCTTGCGTCTGAATGAGTAAAGAGCGTTTATAAATTAACATGATGTTTTGTAGGCTAATAATTTAGAGTATAATGTATAGAATAAGATAAACTGATTAACCTGTACTGGCTTCACTATAATTTAATACAACCTGGATAACCAGAAGAATAGTTTAAAAGCATACAAATACTTCATACTTATATTTTGAAACTTTTTGCACGTATATTTCAGTTTGAATTTGTATTACTGGAGTATATGTGAAGTTATATGTTTGTTGATTCAAGTGAAAGACTTTTGAGAAGTCGACTATGTATGTTGATTTTATTTGATATAAGTAAACAATTGAAACGGAAAATTTCTTAAGTGGTACTTTAATGACCATCCATTTTCATGACAATATTCTTCTTCTTTTAATTCATTGAAATTTTATACCCATTAATTTTTAAAACTTTACTTGACAATATAAGATCATTTTTATGGTTGTAATAAATATCGCCTTATAGTTGTAAGGAGCCTATAAATGTCAGTAAAATAATAATAAAGGAATGAATCATTTTGATTATTCCTACTCCCTGTCATGAATTATTTAATATATGAAAATTATAGGTCATTCCATGGTCGGATGTTATACATTATGAAAAATATCTGAAAAATGTCAATGATATGGAGTTCAGTTATGTCTCATTTGGTGGACATCCTGAATTAACTAAAACAGGAGGTCCGATTCATTTTCTTGGTTATATTTTTGAGAAAAGTTATAGTGGCTGCATACAAAATATACGGATTAATGAAGTTCCTATAGATCCTAGACGTAAGGCTTTCTTAGGAGATGCTGTGGATGGGTATGGGATTAGTAAGTTAAGCTGCATTCATTTTTTGTTTTATTAATCAGTGTATTGATTTCTTGTAAACATCTACAACTTCTTTGTCACTCATGAATTTTGATAGATTCCATTTTTGCATAATGAAATATGGCCATTATACTTTCTTACAACGGTTTTGTAAAAAAATTCGTGTTGTTATTGAAGTGATGTTGACTAAATCACACTAAAAATGATCGGAAAGATGACCTAATTTAGCTTTTTGTATGATGTAGAGGTAGTGGTTAACTGACTACGATGAAACACAGGTTATGACTAGGATAGATGAGGTATATTTGTTTTGAACATGGATTCTTCACTTGACTTCGCAAGCTTGAAATCATCAGAACAAATTGATATCTTTATGTAGTCGTATATCTGTCAGTCATATTATTATCGATCAATTTTTGTTTCTACCTATCTAAAATGTTAATTATAACCACAAAGTTACAAGTAGTCACGAAGACAGTAGTATGATACGTCTAATTTAATCAAAACGTTTACAGATTTTACATCTACTACGTATACAGAATGATTGATAAAATGAATACTACACGTCTCTCGAAGTATCTATACTTATAATGTCCTGAAATAGTTCACTGATTCCACTAGTGAATGAGAATATTTACAGTTTTCTTATCTGGTTTCAGCTAATTGTGGTTTTGGTTTATGCGAAAAGAAAAAATGCAAAAATAATGCCTCGTGTTTGCAAACATCTGGTTCCAGTGTTATTTGTCAATGCCCTTTGGGAACTTCGGGTCGACAATGTGAACAAAGTAAGTTAAATACATACTTCTGGCAGTAACAGTAAAAACGTCAAAAATCTTTTATCTTCAGATACACATTTCAGAAAATAATCGCCTGTATTTTAATGAGGTTAAAATTCCTATTAAGATATGTAGGTAAATGACTGAAAGAAATATTTTTCATCTATTATTTGTTTTATTTGTCAGAATCAATGGAAGCAAATGTAGCCAATTTTATTCGTTTTTTTAAAATTTCTGATAGAAAAGACGTAAACTACGATTCCAGGATTTGGGGGAAGAATGCTGTTAGTGTCTTTAATTATAATGGTTCAGCCGATTTCTATTTAGATAGGTTTTCTCTCAGTATGCATGCGGATTTGTGTATCGGCTAAAACATAAATAGACAATTTCCACTTGAACAATAAAAACACGAATTTTGGTGAAGTGATCTCTTTTCAACGAATTTGTTATCAAGCTGTACAATCATATATATGTGCATGTACATGTGAGATCATCTGAAAATGGAGATGAGTCAGTAATTAAATGAAGTGAGGAAACACGTATAGTAAATAGCTTGATAATCATAAAAGTTGTGAAGAGTTTAAATAGGATTGAAATCACATGAAAGTAGATATAAAAGACATTTAGTCATTAGTTGGTAATTTTGTCTAGAATTAGAAATTGTTAGGATGTTTTAAGTAATAATCAAACAAGATTTGAAGAGTTTAAATAAATGAGTGAACAAGAAAACCGCTGAAGGAAGTGATGAGTTTGGCGTACTTAGACGAGATTTAGTTTAACGAAGACCACCTAACTAAATAAACACTAATAAAATAATATTAATAATGATAATAACAAAAAAGTAATAATTCCAGTTGAAATGAGTCAAAACTGTAAATTTACCAATGTAGTGATAAATTGGTTACTATCTCGTTATGAACACATAAGTTAAGTATGAGTTCTTCGATTGCTACTGTTTCAACAAACCGGCGAGACGTTTCACATTTTTGTTTCCTGATAATCTTGAAGAATTAGGGAACGTTAATGACAGTCTTAGTATCAATTAAATGGAGGGCTATTGCATTATTTAGAGCTGTTGAGCCTCTTAGTGTAAAAGTTTTTGGTATGTGCTCAAAAGTGCGGACATATATTCTCTCTGTTCTTCCAATGTACGTGCTTTGGGACGTACATATAAATCGGTGGTACTGAGAAAAGAGAACTTGTCAACTTTTATTTGTTTGAGTGAGCAGTTCATTTAGCATAACTCCGTCATTCTTGCTAATGAATAAACAACCTTCACTGAGACATTTATCCCCTGACTAATTATTCCAGTGACTTTATATCATTTGAAGCGCAATTATAAGAAGCGGATTTTCTTTCCCACCATATCGTACTCAACACGTACGTTGGTTTTGACATACTTCCTGATGAATATCGCTGAATATGCATTTCACGTAAGGAAGTTGTAATAAAGGAAAGTTATTCTTCCGGGCCTTCCTTTCAGCAGAGTTTACGAGTGCTGTCATAACGGGTTCATACAATCCCCATTTTTATAACTCAATGAACAAAATTTGATGTAGTTTAAATAAACTTCACTCTATGAATTTTCGTGGTAGACGTGTCTCTGTAGTTTTCCATCTGAAATTCGTTTGATCCCCACATGTAAGAAATGGTGTTTCCCTCCTACTTCATGTTCCATTGTAGATTCAATATAATTGAATGCTTTGTTAATTAGTTTGAGTTTGTACATGAAACGCAGACAAGAAATGTATCATAACATACAATAGAGTGTAGTTCTTTCGACTGAGTGCTCAAGCTTCGTTTATTCTAGGTTCCCCATAGATATATCAACTCGAATTTATTTCGAATTATTTGGAAACCATTCAATCAGTCAGTCAGTAACAACGTAGAACTTCGTACGTACGTACATCAGTTCGAGTTGCCACATCACATTAGCACAGAGATGCACTTGTCGATTCAAATCCCGTAGTGGTAGAGGTAATAAGAGTATAGGCAGTAATCGGGAAGATTATGGTTTGGAGATGTTATTTAAAGAGTATAATCCAGTGAAAGAAATTTGGAAAGAGGAAAAAAGGGACATGAAGAATTCAGAAGATTAGAATTTGGGAGAACACAGAGTTGGAAACCATTAAAAAGTTGTGTAAACTCTCCGCTGCTATACAAGTCCAATTTTTAATGATATATTTTATTTAGAACAATTAATTTAGTTACTTTTCTCACTCTCTCTCTCACAACCCGGCTACCGTACGAAAATAACTTATTCTATGTATGACAGGACCACATACAGAATTTTTTTCACTTCAAGTCGATTACAAACGTAATGATTACTGTATGAGAATCCGAAGCTTTAATATAGTGTTCCATCATTTTGGTAATCATTTGTTCTCGGTTTAAACCAATCTCTAGCAAAGATATTTTTATTCCCGTAGAAATCAATGATTTGCTTCTCTAAAATTTATTTTTGGTATTCATTAGTACTTTAATGTCGGCTTATGAACTTGTATTTATCTATATATTTTTTCGTTATCTCCTCACAGGAGTTGAGCTAATAATGCCGTTCTACAACGGATATTCGTACACCGAGTATATCGGATTGAGTGGAACATCATCATCATTCACCACCTTGGAACTTCAGTTTAGACCATCACAACCAAACGGGCTGATTTTATATGAAGGTTATAGTCATGATAGGCGTGGGGACTTCTTGGCTATTATGTTAGTTCATGGATATGTTGTAGTGGCGTTTGACTTAGGTTCCGGTTCAGCGTTTTTAAAGTAAGCTTATCTCTATTTTTTGAGGGTATATAGTCGACTCCGATCCGGAAGTTTAATAGCAGATGAGAAAATAATTGAACACAGTAATCGGATAATATTCAGTCTGGTACTCAGTTCTTGAGTGCTAACAAAGATCACGACCACACCTTACAATACGAATGTTATTAAAATTAGTTGATGTCAAAGAAATAGAAGGCTGCACACTGCTATTAGAAAGCACCAAGTTTTGGTGTTGTTTTTAATGGTTATAAGTAGAACGGCAAATGCCTTAACCAGGCTCTAACTTAAAGACCATGGAGTATTGTTTACTCGAGATATCTATATTAAAATTGGGGACCAAGATATGACTGTAATTTCTGTTCTGCAGATGGGTCACTTCTTGCAAAGTCTGTGGACGTCGCGGTGGGCTAAAGCAGGGGGCGTAAGATTACTCGGTGTTGTGGTTAAAATTTAGAAGTTCGTTTCATCAGCCTTTAAGCCTAGATTAGAAGATACCTACTATTAGTTCGTAAACGCTAAAGATCAGAGTAACATGACAAGCCAACATGGGTGATAATGTTTCTGTTAGCAGTATGAAGTTCTAAATACATAACCTACCCAAACGGATGACTGTGGGATTATTATGGCTAGATTTTCTCATCCAAATATATATGAGAAGATTCTTAGCTTTTAAAATGCTAGACTAATAATAATATATAACATATAGCATAAGTTCTTGGAAACAGTTAGAAGAACTGACTAACCTGCTTGCAACCAAATTTGATTTGCGAATCAGTCATATTTTATGGATATTTGAGCGCTAAAGTGAATAGGTTATTTCATTCGACCGATTCCATGTGGGTTTATTAACTTACCTATTCGTGTGGAGCCAGGTATATAGGTTGTTATATGCGTATTCTATCCGAAAGAATTTGAAAAACGTTACTCGACTTGGCTGAAAATATCTAAAAACGACTGATTAACAAGCCCTACGGTCGAACACCTTGTAAACAATAGTCATTCGACCATAACGGGTTCTGTGTTCAAAGTCATCTCCAAGGCAAGCGGAAGGCTGACAAGGTCAGCTAGTTTCCATCTTTTTAGCATTACCGAAGAACTTGCCGTACATCTGGAGAGACTAGGATTATTTATACAAAGAAACTTGCACAACCCCTTCTTATAACGTGGTCTTAATCTCTTGTTACTTTTTTCCTTCCTTACTTTTATAGCGGCCATCTGCTTTCTTTCTACCTTCCCTATAATCTTTTTATCCCCAAGTGGTTTGTTTCTATTACTATGATTCTACAACTACGATAGACAGATACCTTGAATATCTTTTCAATAAAGACATTCTTGAATTTTAATAAAATAATTTCCGTTTTTATACTTAGGAATGAGAAAGAAATAAAATTAAATGAATGGCACATAGTCCATTTTTGGAGAATTGGTCGTGATGGTTATCTCCAAGTCGACTCAGATGAGCATATTATGACAAATTACTCATTCGGTTTACAAGTTCAGCTAACGTTAACTTACTCTTTGTATCTTGGTGGACATCCAAATGCTAATTTTATATCAACCCATATAAAACCATTTATTGGATATGCAACAAATTTGAGTATTGGATTTCAAGGATGCATCAGTAAAGTATGTCACTTGGGTGTATTACCTGTAGAACAATACTTTGCAGTTATCTCGTATTTTTAGATCACTAGATTCTCTCTTTTATTTTCTCTACAAATAGTAGAACCATGCATTTACTTATAATTTTAAATGATCAGATGAACTTTAGATTTCTCAAGATGAATCTTTCTGTCAACAATAAGCCTTAAATCTTAAATTATGACTAAGTTGAAATTCCTTCAAGGTCTTAATTTATTCTAAAATGTGTGTTTCTGGACACTTAAAATCTCTTATCTTTTTCAAAGTTATAGATAGATACGTCAATTGTTAGCAAATCTTCGAAGTAAGGCTTCTGTTTTCATGAATTGCGTTTGGTTCTCCCTAAACTACAAATAATTTTTATGATACAAAAGTGACAGTTAAGATGTTGGAAAAAGGATTTTCACAGAAATATTTTCTGCATAGCGTTTCTATTTGTTTCAAGTTTGTCTTGTGTGCATCTCATTCCAAAGCTCAACTCCTGAACAAATTGTTGTAACGAATTGGGTAATAAAAATTTGTGACTAAATGATGTTTGTCAGTATTAGTCTTCATTACATCTATGAATAGGATTTAAACTGTGAACTAAAGCTGAATTGTTATGGTGGAAAATGATCAATATTTTACAACAACATGTACGATATAATCAACCGTTTCATTTCATTGGTTGAAGACTGTGATTTTACGTATTCTAGAGGCGATATTATTTAGTAAATACAGTATTGGGTGCATGAATTTTTCAATTTTGAAACACGCGTAGTTACATGTTATGTGGTCTATCGTAATCCTGGTTTTGAGTTTTAGTTGGTTCAAAAATAAGGTGGAAACGGGACCATCCATATATCTCATTCCCACTGAAGATCTCAGTGACAAAAGATAAATATTAATGGATCCATAATTTAAAGTCATAATTCAATATTTTCGTTTCATTTATACATTGGATAAACTGCTTGTTTTTATACAATTTTGTGTTCTCACAAAGAGAAAAAGCCGAAAATTCCATACACCTTAAGTGCCGCTTTTTTTCGTTAGTAGCAAACTTTAGCTTCATGTATTCAAAACGTTTGAGTCTCTTATCTTTTTTAAACAATATTCTATTAGATTGAAACAAACGGAGTACTTATTGATCCTATTAGGGATGCGATAGGTGGCGTGAATATTTTAAATTGTCCTGGACAAGAATGTGGATTTCCAAATCCTGTATGTTTAAACAACGGGAAATGTTTACAGGACTTAAAAGGTTTTACATGTTTATGTCCACTTGGATTTCAGGGGAAGAATTGTAAAGAAAGTAAGTAAATTTATCATTGCAATTATATGTATTATTGTCTTAAATAAGCAATTGTATTCAACGGTTGTGCTATTCCAAGCCTAATTTTTAGATTTACTATGAACTAAACAAAACACTAAAACCTTTTGTGTCTTAATTTAATAATGATATGGGATATAAATAAATTTTCTTAATAACGAACGGAGTATATTTTTCTGATTTTGCTGTATGCTAATGATTCATCAAATTATCTTAAATTTCTCACATGAAAACTCAACACAAGGATTCTTCTATGATGCTTTTAAAGATCCATTTGCAGCAAGTTGAACTTAAATTAGGTGTATGTAGGTTCTATATAATATTTGATCACTGAATTTAAGAAATTCATACTACTAAAATATGAAAAACTTTAATAGTTATTATAAACATACATTCGTATTCAGCTTTTTCGAATGGAGGCCTCGAGCAGTTATTGTTAAAGTACGTTTAAAAATCTGAGGAAAACTAGATAGGATGTATCACAAAACTAAAAGAAATGGTCCTATAACTGTCAAAGGTTTTATTAAAAATCTTGCGGGTAACTAATTCTAGAAAACCAACGTAAGTCCCTTAGATGCACAATGAAAACTTCAAGTTCATCTTCATTTTAGTGAAAAATGCCAGTAACAAAATAGATAGTTAGTGCTTAAAAAGTAGGCAGGGGCTAGGCATTGTGCTTGCGCAGTTTGTGAAAACCAGTAAACTACTTTATTTATTTTTAAATAACAAAAATATGTTTAAGACTAATCAATTTTATCATGCGAAGGAAAAAATAATTTAGATGTAATAGATATTCGGAGTACTGTTCGGGGATAAAACAGTTCTGGTTTACAAGAGATGTAAATGCAGTCTGACTGATGTTTGATGCTACCATTTATTTAGGTTATTTATCACATTAATTAAAAGGTAATTCATCCAGGATTGGAGTGGAAGCAGTGTATAGTAGTGTAGTAGACGCCACTCACAAGATTTCTTGTAAGTAGTATGGTGCGGAACGTGGCCTCGAAGTTGTTGCAGTCGTCAGACAGAGTGAAGAGTTCCAGTACATCGGAAGCTTGTTGTAGACAAAACACTCGATGACTATACCAGAAGATAGTATGGACTGCAGAACACACTGTGAGATGCAAACGGATGATCGAAAGCTGTGTATATGTATTATGTATACCATTTGTAATAAACAAGTCTTCTGTCGATTGTCATGTTCTACAGCAGTATGAAGCGCCTGATTTCCATGTCCATTGGATTACGTAAACATACCAGTTAATTATTCCAATTTATGTGTTTCAGTCATCACTTATCACCGATAGTTGAAATTAATGCACTTGTTTACTAATAATAACGATGTCAGTTGTGTATACAAGTTTGTAAAACTGTTCTCCCTCTAACTGTTTAATAAAGTTGAACACTACTTTATTTGAGACTCAAGATTAAGATTGACAATCTGCATCATTCAGATTTCAGTATTTGCAAATTATCAGAGACCGCAATTTATAACTTTGAATCTTCTAAATATACACTGACTATCCATTCCGTTATTCAAAAGGCATCTGATTTTTAGATGCGACATCATTCACATTAAAATTTGAGCTATGCAAACCATATGTGTTACAAAACTGATGGAGTTGAATAGGGAAGTATAAGATTTCTTAAACAGTTTTTAAACCACATGATAATAAGATAAGAATATATTTAGACTGTAATAGCAGAGCACTGGTGGTATTTTTTAGATAATCTTAGTGATATTATCAATAGGCAGAAATTTTACTTTATATAACCTCTTACTTCTAAAATGAAATTATTGACGAGAAAAGAAAAAGAGATTATCTGAGTTTCGATTTCAAACAGATATAAAGCATAAAATTAGTATGAAACGTACCCTACACCGTGCGGTTTTTATAGTAATTTCCTTCCTTTGATTAGTTATTAATGAACAACCTTCATAAAATGGAGTGTTCATGATTATTTAAAATAAAACGCTTTGATTTCAATTATCCTCTATAGCTAGTGACAAAATACAGTGCGTATTTGCTGCTTTGGTCTACACTTTGCCTTTAAACATGCATCTTTCCCATATTTGTGATTCAAAGTAGGCCTTTTAGCGGTTCATATTTTACGGCTTCATTCAATTTCAAGTGTCCAGCATGTCACTGATTAGAATCAGTTATTGAAATCTGTTTGATTATTTCACGTGCACATCAAGTTTTAAGTATCTAATGCATACCATGAGGATGTATATATTTCTTTGTAATGTTTAAGGCATTTTAATTTGTAACGAGTCAAACAACTAAAAAACCGTTCTTGAATACTTCCTGATTTTTAATGGTCTTTCATATGATATCGTATTCAAATTACGCTACAACCAATCGTCTCTTAGAAACTGAAGACTTAGTTTTACACTTAGCCTGACAGCTAACTCCATATGTTCCATCTTGTAATATGTGGGTTTGTATTTTCGTGAAAATTTATAGTCATTACGAATATGAGAACTTAGATTCGCTATGTACTTATAGAAGACATTTTTATTCTTAACTCTTATTTTAAAACCGTCATATTAAAAATATTTGCGTCTGTCACAACTAGAGGATCTTATAATTAGGTAAGAAAACATCAGAATTTGATGTCATGAACATGTGTTTTTTCAAAACTCATACATCTATCAAATTTAAGGGTCTACACATATTCATTATCCTTACCAATTCATTCACTTTACAACGCAAGAATTTTGATTGTGTTAACATTAATAAGTTGGGATTTTTATTAATGTACAAGATTGAAGGTCTTGGGCTCAACTCCCGGTTAGTGAGTCTTAGATGATTACTTCCGAGAAGTCCCATAATATAATGAAACGCTCGCCTAGTGCTTCTAAGTTTTAAAGGGTTTCGATAAAACTTGACGATTTCCGGAACATCATTCTGATAATTTTGTTTTGTTTATTACTCACTGAAAAATACAAACTCTATAGATAGTAAAGATGTCAAAATTATCAATAAATTGAAGGGAAATATCTACCCCTGATTCGTTTGTTTGATGTTTGTTCATCTGCATCAATGTAGTTTGCTAATAGCAGGATTTGTATGAGTTTCAATAAGTTTGTTTTTCTCTAAGTTGAACTGTGACACATACAATTTTGGAAGTTAAACAAAGTTATGTACATTTCCGTGAAAGTTATTTAGACTCAGTAAACTTTAAAGTGACTACAAATTAATGTCCAGGAAATAAAAGATTGATGACATATCAAGCTACATCTATTCGAATAAAAAATCTACTTTATAAGCAAAAATGGATAGTGGCTAGCGGTGGAATCCAGGACAAAGCGCGTTTCGTCTCATTTGGGACTCGTCAGCTGGATGTACTTACATCTTAAGGTTGATGTTCACCGATCAATTGAAGCCTAAACATCAATGGGAAGCTTCAAACAAAATAATACCACGTGAATTTAAATTCACCCCATTGCACAAGCAAGTGGCTAACAAGACTCAGTAGCTAAGTGGATAACCTGATGGCGTTTGAAGTGAACGGTACTGGGTTCGAGTCCCAGAGTGAACATCAACTCTGAGATGCAGGTACATCCAGCTGACGTGTCCCAAATGGGACGAAACGCGCGTCCTGGGTTCCACTGCTAGCCGCTATCCATTTTCGCTTATAATACTCGTAAATTAAGGCAATATCGAGGCAACACGCACAGGATGCACATATACCAATAAGAGACTGATCAATCTCAGTCCTAAACATCAATGAGAAGATTCAAGTAAAACAATACCAAGTGAATTAAAAATCCACTTTTGATGTAAATTACGTTGTTTAACTTTTCCATAGTGTATCCTGAAAATACTCACGAAAGTCTGAATAACCAACGTTTCTCGTAAACAAATTACATAACTTGTGGATTTATAAAAATTGTTTTTTAAAGGTTGCACAATAACTAAACCCTTATTAGTCAAGTAGATTAATGTACTAATAAGGTTAACTACTCTAAAGAGATTTAATAAAACTCCATCAATGTGGAATCAAAATCAAATTTTTGCAACATATACATGTACTCCTGATTTAAGTAGTGAATTCTGAGTACTATGTATCTATCTGACGATCGGTGGGAAAGCTGATCTAATTACTGAGGAAACTAGAATTGCATAACATATCTGCAGCATATATTTAATGGTAAACTGTTAATACGTACAATCAGATAGTATACATCATTGAGAAAAAAGAATGAGATAACTGAAATTATTATCGAGCTAATTAGTAGTCAAAATAACTGAAATTTTATCATTTTCAGTTTATGTTTTTTTTTCTCTAAACACCCACTGATAATATTCATTAAGAAATTAATTGGCAAGGGAAGCAATTAGCTGCATTTGGAGAAAACAGTTTCGTGAAATTCACAACGAACTCATTAAATTATAGGTTGGTTAAGATTTTATTTAACGTTTATCATATATATTTTTTAAATAACTGGCTTCTGCTTTCCTTTTTATGATGACTGCAACAATACTAGTCTACAAACCCGAAATTTTGATCAGTTGAACCACATTGTGTTCATGAAATTATAATCATTGATATGAGACGAGTGATGTTATGAAATATGTAGTCAAGTCCGTTACGACAAAGTACAAGCGATGGATTATGTTTTTAAACTGCTCCAGAAGTTGTACGATCTTCTTTATCAGCGATGATGACAGAATGACTTAAAAGGTTTAAAATACAATGTTTTATTTCTAATTCTAATTCCTGGTATAAGCAAAATACACTTAGTGTGTTTTATGAATAGCAGATATTTAGTCAAGTCACTTGGAAGTTAAGTCTCGAACGATTTTAATAAATAAGAAACATGAATATTCGTCTGTCTAATCATATGACAAGCGCAGTTATAAAGATAGTAGGCTCTCAACATTTTTTTAAAAATTTGAAGTCACTTCACATTCTGAACTGATTTCAGCTGAATTATTGGGTATTTTACGCGATTTTACACGAACTATTCAGCTATCTAAGCAAGCACAATACATTTGGATTACAGATTCATGTTCAAAAAATTTGCATTTACAACTCCAGGTGACAAACCGTCTATTCGGTTTTTATCGTAATTCAGTGACATTACAAGTGATGTTAGCCAGGTATTATAGTATGATCAAGTGAAATTCAACTTTATAATGTTTTGGGGACTATTGTTTTACTTCTTCTAGAGAAGTACTGAGAAGTTCATCTCCGTTTAAAAATGATTTTTGTTGGAAGCGTTAATTATCGAATTTCCCTCAAAAAGTTAAACCTTTATAGATTAAGTTAATGAGAATATAGAGACTGTTTTAGAACAAAGAGAATGAACACAATAAACCTTTGATTTGTCAAAGGAAGGAAAACGACGAGAAGCTTTTATTTCTTTCTTATCAGTAACCCTGTAAATTTTATAAAAATTTAATTCTGTCAGAAATGACCCAACCCTTATTATATGATGCTGATTGACAGTTTAATTGATATTCAATCCTAAAAACTAAGAAAATCAATATTAGATGACTGGATAAAGTCAAAATTCGATTAAATGTATATTCATAATTCATTGGTTATAACGAATGTACGTTGTTTCTACTGAAACGTCCTTCTTAAGAGCAAATAATGACTTGAAACAAACTTTGTTTGTATTTCTCTCATGTTTACCAATAATAATAATAAATATATATATATATTCATTATATCACAATGAGCAGATGTTCAGTCTCACGTTGGTCGTCATCATGCTCGTTGTAAAGCCATTTGAAAACAGTACTTAATTTCAATGACAATATGTAACATAGATGCTTATCTTTAATATTTAGGTTTGATAGCTTGATGATTTTAGTTCATAGAAACGCTGATTAGCTTTTATTTGTATCTATTTGCGTTATCACTTTCAAGCGATAACTTAGTAATAATAGTTGAAACATTACCCAAATATTCTAGGAGCTCTACGATGTATAATAAAACAAAACAATTCAAGAGTAATAGCTTGCCATACTAAATGAATTAAATTTTCCCATGTATTTCAGAAAGTACTTATTAAAATCCGTTTAACTTTCATTTTTCTACTACCTGAATTAAATTTATTTATTGTTTGCGTCAATAAACTACTAACTTTTGTCAATAGCCACTCGTTAATCGGTTTTATGAAAGTTCGAATACTGTCCCTCATGATGTATGAGTATTGTTTGCTTAGTTAGAGTTTAGATTACATTAACTCATAATGTGTTCATGAAATTATTTCTGTGTATTGTTCATAACTCCTTTGTTATTTATGCTATTTTCTAATTCAACAATATTGTTTGGATAAATTTTGTTAACTTCCTTACTGTTGTATTGGGTCATAGCTGCTAGGAATTATATGTTATGATACTAACTTACTGAGAGAACAATTAACATTCACTGTTAATCTTTTATGATTTACTTTTTAGACCCAATAGTCGTCACTATCATATATCGCTTGAATTTCGGCTATCCAACAAAAGTTTGGGAAATGGCATTACTTCTATGAAAAATCATCCGTCAACAAGTAATGCATCAGTTAAGTTGTTCAAACAATATTTGGTCTATGGTGTATTTCAAGGTGTACACAAAATACAAAATATATTAATTCAGCTTCTTTCCAGCAGAAGACTAAAATTAGGTCTAGAGTATGTAGACACTGAAAAATATATAGTCACCTTATCTAACGTGACTAATCAATCCTCGAACAATGATGAATTATGGAAAATTGGCCGTAACCAATTTAGTCAACGTATGTTGATACAAATGTATGACATTTCAGAGAAGTTAGAGTTGAGACACGATTGGCACAAACTCATACTTACAAAGTTAGTCACCGTTGATAAATATATCGTTTTTTGATTTGTGTCGACATGACTTAAAAATCTGTTATATGAATTACATGTAAATCCACAGTAAACTTTGTCCTTATTCATACAACGTATTCAAATGGATACTTATTTCGAGAGTCATTAATAGTAATTTTTGGCAGTCATTCATATTTAGTCCGAGAAGTGACTAGAATGAGGAATTTCAAAAGTTGTAAATGCTTTAAATATTAACTTGAAATTTTAAGGCAAATTTCGACAGATTTATCTTATAAATTATCATGAACAGTTAAGATAAAGAAAGAAATCGCTTTAAATATACGTATTAGAGTTTTCAAGCTCCTGAGTGATAAAACGACAAATTATCTGGAATTTAGCAATCATTTTTTGAGCCAAACACGTTCAACTGATATTTAGCAGACTTTTGTCTAAAGATATCAAAATCACTGGTCAGACCTCCGAATAAGTCAACTTAGATACCTCACATCAGCATCTATGGTTTATTCTTAATATTCCATTAAGTCATCAAAACATACTGGGTCGCCATGAAATTTGTCGCATAATAGTTTTTGCACTGTATATTGAAGGTAATCAAACCATTTAGTTGGTTCAATATACTAATAGCTTTTGTACTTTAGCACAAGATTATATTTGTATACATTTTTGATTTCTCTTTTCATACTCAGTTAAATTTATTTTGTTCAGCCCGTCATATATTGTCACGCCGTGTGATTTATCTTTACCATTCAGTATATTGTGTTCTCCTTCCTCTACTTTCATTTCATTGTATTTATACATATAAATTAGATAATCGATTTTCTTATCCAGTAGTTGAGGTTGTGTTGTTGACTTTACATTATTCATGGCAGACTGCATTCTACAATAGATTTCCATATAACAGTCTTACATAAAAGACTGAGTAAAATTAGTTTTTGAATTCTTTAATACTTGTCTTGGTCAAATTGATTGTTATAAATAGTTTCATTCCTTCATGATATAAATCAATTCTTTACAGAAAAATAAAAGGTATTATTTTCAAGAGATTGGGATTAGTAATAAATAGAAATTGAACATCAATTAAAGGAACTATTAGACAATCCTCTTTGTATATTTACCGTTTTGGTGCAGCAGAAAACAGAAAATAGATTTTCATGATATGGTGTTTATTACATCTTAAGTCTTCTTATTCCATGTACTGTACAGTCAAAATAACTACGTAGCATAAAAGATCGTCATTGTTATTACACAGACTTTCTTCATCTTTATACATAATCACATTCATCTTACCATGGTCTGATAATGTGTAGTGGCAAACTTTCTCTTCGGAAATTCTGTTTCAAGCCCTGTTTAACAATGATGTTTCTAAACCTAACAAGTTAGGTATGGGAATTTAGATAAACTCAACTACATAATTGATATATTTTGCGGATTTCGATGAACCAAATCCACCGTGATATTATTATCACGGAATATTTAAGTTGAATTCATGATTCGATCTAAGCTGGACCACCAGTGAAAACCTGGAATCATTGGACTGCCGTTTCGTCCTAATACGGCCGGTCAGTGATTGCAGGTTTACAATGGTGGTCTAGCGTAAGTCGAAACATGAATTTAATCATTAAAACGAATACATTCTCCATAAATCGCCATTATGATAGGAATATTTAAGTTACACGTTGTTTCCCTGTTTCCATGCTCCAAATATCAAATGCTGACTTATTGAATTTTTGACTTGCTGATTTTTTAATGCTTGCTATCTAGAAGTTCAAAGGCCATTACACTATTTATCAACCAATCACAAGTTGCTCAAATCTATTTTAAAGAAAACGAAGTGCAACCGGTTCAATTGTTCTTTGGTAAATCGATAAAGTCATGTTCTATTCATAATATTATAGTTCCCATTCCTGTTTAACTCAGGTCATCATTTTTAAAAGCAAATAATGTAGCTCACTTAATTCTGTTTATATTATCACTATTACTAATGGAAATAAATATTGTGATTAAAAAACAGAATAAAAACATAGTAAGGAGTTGTCACTTCTTTTAAAATAGGACGACCTAAAGTTGTAAGGCTTCTCTGTAAGTGAACTCCATGCTACCGTTTACTAAAGAATATTTGATTTTCTGAACAACAATTGTGAATATAACGTTACGGTCATTTCCTAAGTAAACCAACTGAAATGACAGAAGAGTCAGACAATTATTCATAAAGTACTAAATGTTTCACCTAGATTTTGAAAAAAATTGATTTATGAGTACAAAAGTTGGTTCACGGAATCTCAAGCACATGAGGAATTCAGACGAGTTGTAAAGTGTGAAGATTGCTAATTCTAGAACACACATATGTGGACTTCAAAAAACAAAAATACAACGTCTGAGTATGTTTTGTTAATAACTAGTGAATTTGTTGTAGATTAAGCATCGGTTAAAATGTCCTTTGGTAAACATATGTATATTCAATCGTAATCATAATTCTTAAAATTTACATCTGCAAATGATATTACACCAGGAGTATTTACATTGGATAGTTAATAACTAACCAGATCATAACACACATTACATGTCGCAATTGTCAACATTCGTATTTCGTACAACAGATTAATAAACAAGATACCTGAATGACCAAACAGATTATTATTTATGGAGTGTCAGGTAAAATACCGTACATTTGTCAATTAAACTGACAGATTGGTTGATGTTAGACACTAACACCATTGGATGCCAGCTCAGTGGTCTAATGGTTAAGTGCTCAGGAGCGAAGCCAGTAGGTCCTGAGTTCGAATCCCGCGGGGTGCGGGATCGTGGATGCGCACTGCTGAAGAGTCCCATACTAGGACGAAACGGCCGTCCAGTGCTTCCAGGTTTCCAACGGTGGTCTAACATCAATTAATTCATGATCTCAACCAAAAACTAAACTGAAAGCCCTGTATTTGCTATAGAAGTAGGCAATAATTAGATAATTTTTAAAGAATAATATATACTATTACGTAATACCTTATGATGAAAATATTGAAACATAGAAACATGTGCAATAAATAATCAGTATCCAAAATGTTCCCGACTACTCATTTACTGTTAATCATTCCTTACAGGAAAAAGTTGAGTATTTTGCATTTGTTTAGTCTATTTACCACTCGATCTTTCTAAAGCGATCAAAACAATGAGAAATAGGTCTGATTTAAGTTCTTAATACTACCAGTTTATTTTTATATTATTAATTAAGCGTTTCTAGCAGACTCTACTTATATAAAATTTATAGTGTTATTTAAAGAAGTAATGCTGCTTATTTTTTTTAGGAGGAATCCCTGAAACTCTACATGCACAAAGACGATACCTGGAACTGATGAGTAATGGATATTCATCTTCACATAAAGAGAATGTTTTTATCAAATCCAAAAATTTCAATGGTTGTATAAAGAAGTTAGAAATTAATGGACATCCTACTTCATTTGGTCATGTTGCTGACGGGCAAGATATTACTCAATGCACATGAATTAAGAATTGATTAAAGTTATTTAGAAGAAAAACTATTTTTTTCGTGTTATTCCATTTTTATTTACATTTCCAAGACTTATTTTCAGTAATATATTCAATGATGCTAACCAGTTATTCAGAATTGATGCACTGGACATAATAACTCGTAAAGTGAAGTTTGTAATTACTAATAATAACCTATGGTTATTCTAACTTTTCTTTTAAGCTAACCCTTTAAACAAAGCAGTCATAGTATGTAACCTCCATCTTTACGTATTCACTTGGTCCATTAGATTTCTTCTTTCTATAGAACTCAAAATATGTCATCTTTGAATATTTCATCTTGCAAGACAACAAATTCTGTATCAATTTTACATTCAGTGGATAAAGAGAATGAAGTCACGTTTGAAAATGACATTCATCACGAATATGTACCAAACTAAAAATGAATGAAACTTCATAAATCACTTAATTTAAACGACTGAACTTTTTGATTACAGATTTTTAGATAAATGTTTCTATTTGTAATGGTTCATAGTTTTTAGAAAATATCGGTCACCTACCAAACTCACACTTTCAGATAGCATATAGACAGCTTTAGCAGCAAAATGAGCGTTAAACAGGTAGGATTGAAACTAGAAATGATCCCAAATATTTGCAGCGACCAATGTATTCAATGTTGATGTAAATCAACACTCATTCGAAGGGGTTTATAATCATCATAAATAGACCGCTTCATACGTTTGAAATTCTGGATTAGTAACAAGTTGATTGACAGTTAATTTTAAAACTGATGTGCTGAGAATGACTAGCTAATATCTCACTATGTGTGTCATTGTGTAAAATGTAGTATATGTAGTATTATATTTTTCAGTCTTACAATTAGATACTCTTATAAGTTCCTTCAAAATACAAAACAAATAAAGAGCCTTAAAACCTTTATGTCTAGAGGGTTGTCGACCGACAACAGCACTTCCTACTACCAAGGACACAATCTGATGCAGAGTCACATGTTTGCTTTGACATGATACTAATTTAGTTATGAAGAGTGAACAGTTGGTTATTAAGGATAACTGAAGTGAATGAATTAATTTTTTTATACCATCCTTTATTTCTAAGAAAAATTTTATAATAACGCTTTCTATTGAAAATGCACTCTAAAGAAGAAAGTAAGATTTAGTTAACAGTTCAAATAAATGTAGAGAAAGATACCACAACAACTCTATCTCTGATTGTACTCAATGATATCGCGAATAAAATGTACTTTTGTGATGACACATCTGTTGAGAAAGAGTACAGAAAATCTACCAGGTGATATTCTGTAAATAAAACATTTACCATGTGATTACTTAAAGAATGTATTGGTGAGAAAGATATTAGCCTGCAGCAACTTCCACAGACTTTAGGTGACCTGAAAACTCAAGGACAGAAATATATAGGATAAGAAAGTTCCAGTACCATTAACTAAAATGAAACGTTTAGTTTTGTGTTACATTTTGACGAGTGATGATGAAAATGAACCTGTAGCTTGACGATGATTCATACAACCAGGGTGTTCATTAAAATACATTTAATTGTCATTTAAAGAGGTGATTAACTGGACCGTTTTCTTCCATCAAATAATGGATTAGTCGATATCAGGCATTAAAATTGTTGCATGCCAATTCAGACTGAAGTTCCCGAGTTGGAATCCCGCATGCGGCATCGTTGATCCATACTGTTGTGTTTCCCATTTTAGGACAGAACGGCTGTCCAGTGCGTCCAGGATTTCAACGGTGGTCTAACATTGATCGGTTCATGATCTCAATAAATAAGTAAACACTATACTCTTATAATTAGGGTAACACTGTGGATAAATTTAAAAAGATTATTTTCTTATTTGGCTATGATACTAGAGCTGTGTTATTTTATCAGTTTAGGGGCTGTGGAGATTGTTAAGTTTTTGATTGAGATCATGAACCGGTTGATATTAGACCATCATTGAAAACCTGGAAGCACTGGACGGCCGTTTCGTCACATTGTGGGACTCCTCATCAGTGCGATATATATATATATATATATATATATATATATATATATATGGGTGGGATTGGGCAAGGATACTAGTTTTCAACAAATTGAATCAAACTTAACAAAATTTCACACGTTTCACCGTGCAGTATTTTCTATTAGTGAATAATGATATATTTTAAGGTCTTCCAGTTATCAGTTCATATTCTATTGTAATAATCAATGGTGTATTTGTAACAATTTCTTAGCTATTCAATGCTTTATCATAATTTCTTTGTTTATCTAAACACAACCGGTGTGATTGGAGCAATTTTACTAGAGAAAACAAAAATAATCATAAGTTTTGTATGTGAATTCATATTCGTATTATGAATAAAATAAAATTTGATTTTTAAAAAATGATACATAGAAGTTCTATGTTGATAATTGAGCCAGAAGATTTGGTAGGATTATTGAACCAAATCCGATGCCCGCCAAAAAAATTGTGCTATCTTCCATAATGCTCTTGTAAGTAAAATGCGTCGTAATGTAACAGTTTGTTACAACGATTTCGATTTATTAAGATATATTGTTACTAAATTATATTTTCTAAGCTGGCTATTCTGATTTATGTTAACGATGAGAGTACAAAATCTATGACTATAAATAAAAGACCAGATAAAGATGAATGGTGGCTAACAGTAGAATGCATAACGCACGTTCCGTCCTGAGACTCGTCAGCTGGATGCACCTGCTAAGTGGATAGCACGATGGCGTTTGGAGCGAACGTTACTGGGTTCGAGTCCTGGAGATGAAGATGCATCCAGCTGACGAATCCCAAATGGGACGAAACGCGCGTCCTGGACTTCACTGCTAGTCACCATTCATCTTTGCTTATAATGCTTGTGACTTTAGGCAATATCGAGGCGATCCGCACAGTATGCTAATAAGAGATGGATCGATTGCAGTCCTAAACATCTATGGAAAGATCGAAAGAAAATACAAAATGAATTTAACTCTCATCCTTTGTAAGTGATGTGAAATCTTCTTTACCATAAATATAATCGTTTGGGAAAAAAATACGGTCACCAAGCTTAATAGTTCAACACTAGATCCCATATATTTTTTAAAAAGAAATTCGAATACTATTTACCTATTGCTTGGGCTCCGATTTAAGGTTTGATGAAGTATTTCATTATGGAACCTGTTCTGTATCTATAATGGTAATATGCAATAGCCAGAGTCCTGTGGCTGAAATAATATTTTCGCAGTAAGAAACAATGTTAATATTAACTATGGCCAGAAAGAAAAATATTTGCATGTGCCTTTCATCCAGAAAATTAGCGTTTCCAAAAAATTACATAGTCATACGTTTGATTACTTTCATATACTTGAGAAAATTATTTTGAAGATTTCTTATTACCTAATATAATCATTACATCTCAATTTATAGACAGTAAAATGATAACGGTAACCGTAGCTTATTCGTGCAGAAGTGTTAAATATAACCTATTCACAGATATAAATCAGTCGGTAATCATCAACAAAAAGCCTATCATAAATGGTTGTCCGGAGTTGTCATACAGTTATAGTACGTGAGGTTAAGAATGAAAACATGAATCCCAAAAGAGATCTGAATAATGTAGCAGAAATGACAGTGAGAGAGTGAACCTTTGGATGTTTCAAAAAGAGAGCGAAAACGTGTGTGAGAATAAAGGTTGAAATTCATGATCGAAAGATAAAAGTGAATTCATCTGCATCAGCGAGAACGGTCGTCCAGTGCGTCCAGGTTTTCTATGGTGGTCTAACTTCAATCGACTCATAATCTCAACTATTAAAGTTACAATAATATCCACAAAACCCCTTCTCATATTTATTTAGCTGTTTTTTATAGAAACCAATTATAACTTTATTTCGATCATTTATTTCATCATAAATATAGTACTTTTTAAATTTAGTATGATAACTGTAGTTTTTGTGCTTGGAATAGTCTTTGAAATCAACATAAATAAATGTTTATTATCATTAAGTAAATATTTCATTAGTTGATAATACATAAATAACATTATGAAAGCCAATATAAATATGACAGATCTTTTCAGTGGGGAGTTATTCACCAGTTGGTTGATAACAGATAAACAATTAGTCATGGGTAATATCATGATCAAACTATGGGATAACTTATCTCGGTAACTAATACGTGTGCTAATACAGTTCAATGATTTTTATATCAATAATTGAAGCATATTATTTTAAGTATTTTGCTCTAAACTTTAAAAAAAAATTAACATTCTATTATTTTCAATAGAAAACCGATTTCAATTGTTCACTGTTTTTGTGATTTGTAAAGGGATTTTTTAGATGGAAATTAGATTGTTTATCAGTCTAACAATAACAAAAACAAAACGCTTAAGTTACCGATGAAACAAAATTTTAATCAAGATGTTTACTATAAGCTTGATAATGATACAAGTTACTTAAAGAATTCCTATTTAATATCGCCACTTTAAATTTGTTTATGTTTTCGGTTTTGTATTACTATCAGTCCATCAATTCAACTTAACTTTGCATATAATTAAAACTTAAGGGTGTTTTAGTCAGAGGTTATTTGCTCTATAAATGCATTCATAGAATGTTAAATTCTTCACTTCAAATGCTACTCATTCTACTAGATTAACTGGTTTGGCAATGCATCGAACGTTAAACGAAAGCTTATGGTTTTATAGAATACCTTTGGGAAAAAATTAAATGTTACCGTTTAGCAGGCTTTGAATTAGGTGAAATAACGTCTCCAAAAATAGTTTCCATTGTTTGTCATGGCTTATTTGTTTCCCTGTTCACATCATCTTCACCCTTGACAAAAAATGTTATAACTGTCATTTGTCTGATCGCGTAAGTAAGGGAAACTGGGTTACATTGTGATCCTTGTAAAACGTGATTGATTTATTTAACTAAAATAAAAAAATGATTAGTCACTATTTAAAAGCAACAGCTAAAATATCATCAGCTCCTGAGATACACTTTAATGCA